TCTGTATAATTCCATGGTTACCGGAGTTTTAAATAATTACGAAGCAACAAGTATTTGCGCAATGTTAATTAGGCAGATTACCTTGACATATGGCAGATACATTGCTGCCGTATTTCTGATATAGTTTTTTGCAAATTTCTCAGTTTTTAATAACAATTAATTTCTTTGACTATTTTTTCTGTACTCCTATAACAGCGCCAGACAACACCTCCAGAGGAATGACGCCAATTTTGAATCACCCTGTATAGAAAAAACCGTTGAAACTTACCCGTATTTATATATTCAGTAACCAAATTCTGCTCTGCCTCGTTATTTACATAATCTGTATTGTGAACTTCTGCATCATCAACTATTAATTCGGAATCCCCAGATTTTTGTTGGGGGCCATCTGTTAAAGGTAAAGCTGTATCTGTATTAGTAACTTCGATTGCAGTTTCGCTTATATTTTCATTATTAATACATTCTTGTATAGTTCCTTCCCATCCACTATATCCATAATAAATTGATGCTACAACCTCTTTATCGAGGAAAGATGATGCTGTTCCCGATGTGAGATTTACCTGAAAAACGGGACGTCAACATTTACAACTGGTTGAGAGCATGAGGGTTGACAGAAACAATTACTTTATATGAAGTGTGAAGATTAGTGAGATTAAAATACAGATAATATTTACCTTTACACACATAACATTGGGCACGTTGAATTCGGGCGATAGCTCTCTAAGATCGGAAAATGGAACACTCTCGCTATTCCCATAGTCTACATATGTTATTGTCGCTTTATCATCATCGAAGGTCTCCACTCTACCTCTATACCAATTGCCATCAGAACCATGTACAGCATATACAAATCCTGGTAAATTGTTTTTAAATTTGCAAAATTGCCATCTCATACAAAACTTGCACAGAAAATTGACAAGTTACCTTCTTCTGGAATGATAGTTGATTCCTCATTTCTCGTATCATAAGCTTCAAATATTTGATCCAGAAAAACTAATATCTGTTCAGCATACATAGCGGGTTGAATGAATACCGAAGTTTCATTAGCATGCGATACCAAACCCTTCAGTTGAGAGCTATTATGGTAAGAGAGATATTAAGATATCCGTGCAATTTCATTTAAAATTTATTACCTATTAATTAATGTCTGACAAAGTGGTTCTACGTTCTGATAAGCTCCTTCATCTGGTGATAGTATATCTATTTTATTACCTTCGTTGTCATAAAATGTTACTTCCAGCTGCTCGTTTTCTAAGACATTATCTACGTAGATAATCAAAGTTTGCTCCAAATAAGCCTTGAAAGCAACAGAACCGAGCGATAAGTATTGTGCTAATTCGTTTAGAACCAATAAATACCTTAAGAGCATCTTCATGAGATTCGGTTGCCAATTCTAAATTGTGCGCTTTACAAGTCAAGGCCAGCCCGCACTCTAAAGCTACAATTATATCATTCAAGTTGTTCACACTTTTCAGAACAACGCGGAATTGTTGGCTCAGCAATAAATATATATCCACACTTTCATCTGTTTCTATGTGTGGCTTAGCAGATATAGCCAAGTTTGATTGGATGAGCAACTGTGACATTTCTTCTTGATTGTCCCACAGCTGAATAAAAGTTCTGAAAGTAAGACAAAAATATTAAGTCATTCGATTATCCGTAGTCCTGTATAAAATACAGGGTGTTCGAAAAATGTGTTAAGAATTTTTTAAGGGCGATTCTACATGGTAAAATAATGGTCGTAGGTCATGTAACAAAAATTCGAATTCTGAATATTTTTCGAGTTAAATCTATCCCATCAAATTTAATTTGTTTCTTTTTATTTTTTACCTTTTTTGAACATTTATTCGCGGATCAAATTGAAAATTGGTTCAAAGTTTTATCTTAGTAATCTTTAATTTTCTGACAAAAAAATGTTTCTCCGCCTTGCCACTAGATACCACTTTACCTGAAATCCAAATCGTAAAAAATTAAATGCGATTTTAAAAATTAAAAAACACACTCACGGACAAAATTAGCGCACCATCTATAAATTTCAAAGAAAAAATATTATAAACCCCACATACTTTTATCATAATTCAAATTATTGTTTTTAAATTAATATGAAAATGTTTCCGAAAGAAATAGTAGAAATTAAAACAAAACATGAATCACTAGTTTATCACATTTTTGGTAAAAATTTATGAAAAATATATTTTGTAATTCGGGTAAAGTTCCGGCCTTTAACCGATTCGATAGCGTGTATTGCCGCCTCTAGCTCGAATAACGTCCCTCAAACGTCTTGGAATGCCATAAAAAAAGGTTTGGAATGAATTCTTGAGGTATGTTGTGCTATTCTTGAAGAACCGCGTTTTCCAGTTCTGCCAAGTCCTCAGGAGTAGGAGCTCGTCCTCGAATACGTCGTTTGAGCTGATCCCAAACTGGTTCGTTAAGGTCAGGACAAACTAAACGCCACACTAAACGTTGAATGCCAACCTCATTCAGATATTCGCGCACGATCAGAGTTCGGTGCGGTCTGGCATTATCATCCATAAACAAAAAATATTCGCCTATGTGAGGTGCAAGAGTGTAATGGTTTTATAAAATCTCTTGAATGTACTTCTGGGAAGTTAGTGATCTTCCTCGGATCACCACAAGGTCCGTGGAAGAAGAACTCCAAAGAAATTCCACCTCAAAAAATTATTGAGCCACCACGGAAAGCCAGTTGGGGAACCATACATGTTTTGGCTGTATCTTTCACCTGGTCTTCTCCAAATAAATACTCGCCCATACGAAGATTTTAAACCCACTCTAACTTCATCAGTAAACAAGACTTTCTTCCAGTCATCCAAATCCCAATCCACGCATTATCGAGCAAACTCAAGCCTAGCTTGCTCATAGACTATGATTAAGAGCGTTTTGCACTCAATCCGGATTCATTGAGCCTTTTTCTTACCGTTTTGAAAGAAATTGCAACATTCCGGGCATTTTAAATTCGATTTTTTCTCATTTTCGGTAATAAATTTCCTATCCACTTTCTATATTTTCCTATGGTTACCGGAGTTTTCACATAATGTTAATTAGGCAGATTACCTTGAAAAACATTGTTCCCATACTTCTGATATAGTTTTTTGGAAATTTCAGTTTTAGAAAGCCAGGAATGACGCCAATTTTCAATTACCTTGTATATAATAGTTATAAACGAATAGTAAATAGTATCCGTATGTTTTATTAAGTGGGCATATTGCAGGGTGTTATCCAGAGTCTTGTGCTTGCAATTTAATTGTGTTTTAGTTTAATTAATTAATTATTTAGGTTTGTTTGTTTGGTATTCATAGGTGTAGTCCCTTTGGATCGCCAAAAATGGAAGGTAAATCTGTTTGTGAATATTGCAGCAAACATTGTTTCCACTCTCAGTTCAAACACCAGGCATGTAAAAGGAATTCGATAACACCTTCGATCGCACGAACATCTAAAATCTCTGACCAATAGAAACACTTTCATACCATCGTATAAACGAATGCATGGGACGGGAGGCTTTCACCAAATTTCCCGCTTGCGCACAATCACATATACGCTATTTCCTATCGCCTCACAAAATGCGCATATGGCGTAGCCAAACAGTAAGTAAATGTGAAATATTATCTACTTCAACGCGCAGCGACGTTTTCTGACACCGATAGTCTTAGGCCGATATGCATAGTCGAGCTCTTACGATGTGCCGGCCTCCCGCCGTTTGCTGGAGACAATTTTGTTTGCATAGCCGATCGGTTAAGCATCTGACGCACGTGCATTTTAATGTTGTTGGGCGATGCGGTGGAAATTTGCGCTTTCGTTTCTCAAAGGAAATTGTGCAAAATGTTTTGTTTCCATTAATCAATCATCAGGAACAAATCACAAAACGAGGCCTTCCTGTTCTTTTGATATTAGATATTTTGAATCAATTTTATTGTCAATCCCTAATTGGTGAAAGGAAAATAATGCTTGTATGTATGATGTGTTGTTGAAATAATAATACTAATAAACAAAGTTATTATTGCAATACATTTGCTTAATGTTTAGAAAAGAGGTTTTCTAATCAATTGGTTGATTTTCTCAACGTTAATAACGGCTTTCACCGTTAATATGTATTTTCTTACAAAAAATAATTCTTTTACGAATTATTTACAATATATTATCCTTTGAGGTAACTAGCCGCTGTGGAAAGCGCTTATCTTTCCTGCCTTTAACGGCGTTCCAGCGCCGACTTCACGCGCCAACAAAAGCAGTGCCGAACTTTTGTCGGTAAATTATTATCACCGCAAAAGCGGTCGGCGGGGGCCACCAGAATAATGATATTGTGCCTGCTCATTCTATCGGAGAATCGTCGGCGATTCTATCTAACAAAGAGCAACTTTGTTGAAGAAAAAACCCGTCATTTTCGCGTGGACACACAAAACAACCTCCGGCAAAGTGCCGAAGATTGACTATGCATACCGGCGTTATTAGTATCGCTTAATCCGCCAAAGAGTGCGCTTCCCTTGGGACTACTCGAATGATTTGCTTCTCAGACGCACTGCCGAAAATTGAACTCGGCCAGGCGCTATTCCGTTGAAGTCTTTAAAAGTGCGCGGAACATACCGGAAATAGAAATGAAGGGCGGTAAAAAAAACGTTTTTCCACAGCCAAGTACGTTACTAGTATACCTTCTATATAATATACGTGTTTTAGAATAAGGCTTGGCAGAAGTTAATTGAAAAACTATTGGTGGTTTTACAACAAATATTTGCTAAAAAACAAGTTGTCAAAAACCTCAAATTTCCATTTAAAATTCTGCCATCAAATGCACCAAGTACCAAATATATATTATGTAAGATGCTTAGAAATTAAGACAGAGCGAAAGCATTTCAAACAGAGCTGCTGACAGTTCGTGTTTTGATTTTAATTATTAATTTAATGCAAGTAGTAAATGTTAATTAATGCACTGTTTGTGTTATGTAAAAGTAGCAATTCGTTTCAGCTAGTTAGTAGTAGTTCCATTCTTAAACGTATAGCAAAAATCGATTTTTTTCGTACCGTATTCGTATTTAAACGGTTTGGTTGAATAAAATTAATTGCATTGAATTAAATATTAGTAAATTAAAGATAGTTTAACCAATATTAGAGCATTACCTGTCGTCATTCTTCTCTAAAAATCTGGCCATAAAACAGTCCTTGCCAAAATATTGAGCAAATGTTGACGGATCTGGCCAATTGCCGCCAATAGGTTCTATGCCCTTGAAACCACAGCAAATTGCCTGTGCTGGCATTTGCATGAACTTTTTATCTGAAAATAATTTGTAGTAACGATTACTTTTTAAGTTCCACTATTTCAAATTACCTATAGGCCACACTTTATTTACAGTTGACACATTTCCAAAATCGACATAAAGTACTTTGTATTGGTTTCCTAAAACTTCCAAGACTTGACCTCTGTATAAAACACTATCTTCTGGAAATAATCCAATGACCGGGGCACCCACGGCAGAGAGCTCTGCTTTTCTCCCTTTGTAAAACTGTTGGATTTCTTCCATCATGGTTTTAAATTCAGGCTTGAAACAATAATGCCGCTATTAGTATAATCGATCGATGGATTTTCAATCAAATCTTACTTGTGTACTTTGTAACTGGCAATAAAAGTACTCTGGATTATGAAACCAACTAATAACTACCGCTGCTTCGCTTCCAACAACATCTAGTTGTGTGAAAGTCTCTGTATTTGGCGCTGCATCAATTGGTTGCCTAATCTCATCATTACTTCGGGGATTATTGTYATAYGACTTTTCCGATCTGAAAAATAAAAAAATTGACTAATCACGATTCAATGACTTAGAAATCAAAATCMGTTTTTTTTTTACAGATAAGAGATAAGATTTTTTTTACAGAKTTTTACARAGATAATTACAGACAGAGTTAAATTTGATCATGAAACTGAACCCCTCATTCTATGTGATTATCATGCGATAATGGAATTCTACGTATTTTAAAAAGACGGAACTCGACAATTACCTCAAACCTTTTACTAAAGTAATCATAGGGGATTGTTTTTTGCTCAGTGTGCACATTTCATTGTTTTCGATGTAACTGATTTGACCGTCAACATTCATGTCTATATGTTTATCTTATGAACAATTGAATAAAAACAATTTAACATTTTGATTCACTTGCCTATTTTGAAACCTTCTACCTGCACCAGTATCATTGTATTCAGATTTTGAAATGGCTCTACCACCTTTCCTAGAACCTTTATCGGATCCACTAAGACTCAGATCACTTCCATCCCTAAAGCACCAATAAAATTAAAATCCAAAACCGACAAAGAATAAAAGAAAAACATATATAATAAAAAGCAACCAAATGGCTTAAACACCTTGCGATTATTACAAAAAATTAGTCATTGTGTATTATTATGAATAAAAATTGTGAGTAGTTGCTCGAACATCGACTTCACGCACAAATAAATGAAGAAAACACCATAAAGTAAATTTATTAAATTGCAAGATGGACCATGTTGGAAGTATTGCATTAAAAATACCAAAATGTTCGTTTGCAATATTTAAATAGAATTTACTTTAAACACTGTGTGATATAACTAGTTTTTTGTAATATTTCGTTAGCGTCATAAAAGCCGAACTTTTATACGCTTGTAGAATCATATTTACAGTTAGACACGATTAAATATTTTATTAAATGCCCTAATTTTAATATTGCATCGCACTTTCACATTTTAATGGTAAATAATTATTCCAAATTCAATTTTTATGATTTTATAAACGATAACTAGAAATTAGAATGTGAATTGATCAATTTTGAAACTGAAATGAAATTAAATATATTTTTTTAAATCACAATCTAGGATTTATTACCTAAACAGTATTGATACATACTTTATAAAGCCTTTTTTAGATATGTCTGCCCTCAAGTTGTCTTTCTTGTTCCAACTTTTTCCATCTTGACGGCTACTGTCTCTGTCTTCAAACCTACATTATAATTTTTATTGAATTAAAAACATATTAAAAACTGGTAATTATTAAACTATAAAGTACAGAGATGCAGCTTAAATATACAAAAAATATTCGATACAAAATCGAGATATTTTAAAACTAGCACATGGTTTCAATCAAATAATATATTAAGTGTTTGGATTGTTGGTAATAAATAACGTACTGTGATCGTAACCACATTGGTAATAGACAAAAGTTACCTTTTCCGGCCAGCATATTTATCATCTTTAGGTTGATAAGTTTCATAACTATTCTGATTTGAAGATGGTGTACTATCTGCCCAACTATCATTTTTATCAACGGATGATTTAGCTTCATTTCCATTACTATTCCATGTAGGCGTGTTTTCAAACACATCTAAATTTACATTTAAAAGTATAAAAAAATTAATCAAGTAAAAAGTCAAAAATTACCAATTTTGTGTGTGTGTGCATGTGTGTGTGTGTATTTTTACTTGTATGTTATTATTGCTTCTTAAAACGACACACTTACTACCTATCTAATAACAATAATAATATTTTTTTAAGGAATTTATTTTCTGGTGTTTTGGAACTAACAAAATCGGAGAAACCTGCCCCGTGTCTATTAGATTCAGTCCCATGAGACTTTAACAGAGTTAATAAATTTAAGTCTTAGAATTTCATGATATGATATGGTTCATACGGTTCTTATAATTAATATAGGCATACTCATAAAAATTCCCATCGAATTTTAATTGTTTAAACGCCCAACTCACTCTTATTGTAAATTGTTTTAAAAAATGTACGTTTAATGCCGGTTCGAGACCAAGCAGACAAGTTTTTTGATTTGAACACGATTTTTAGATAAAAACACAACATTTCAGGAATTCAGACAAGACAAAATTGAGACAAACTGTCCACATCACAAGGACAAATGTGCAACACAATTCAGTTGGTGAGAAGCAGTTGCATAACCATGTGGCGTTTCCAACAGAAAGAAAATTTAAAAACTGAAGATTTATTGTTAGCCGCCAGTTGTTATATCTTTGCCTCCTCTTTTTTTTCTTCATTTTTTATATCCTCAATTTTTAATACAATTTTTAATATTTACCGTATATTAATTAATTGAGAAATAAAAGAATTGATCTCGGATGCTCTCGATTGAATGTCTGGTTATTGGCACAAATTATTTTCCAGTAAATTAATATTTTAGTTGCCCTTTAAATTAAATCTTTAATTTAAATAGGAATTTGACAACGTTTATATGTAGATGGGGCAGTTGCAAATCAGACTCACTGCAGGTGTATTGATTTTTACATCCCAGTAAAGACTATTTCCGATAAATTACAAGACCTTCTTCACCGTACACGTACGGGGATCCACTGACTGTGGCTGAAATCGCATTAACAAATTGTTGCTCGTCTCTCTCGACTTGTTAGCCGTATGTAGTCCGAATATTAATATTTTCGTCCCAGCATTTTATTGTAGATAAACGTAATTTTTTTAAATCCCTAGATAGTTATAACAAATCTCTCTTTCTCTTTAACTGAGAAAAATCTCCAGAACTCGGGAAAAATTCCTTAGTATGGTGTACGTTGTACAGCAAAATCGTGTGTGCAAGTGTGTGCAAAATTTCTTTGGGGTGGTTAAAAAAATATTAATCGAAAAGATAATGATTTTTATAAACAAGATAAAATGTTTATCGGTAGATCCACCGAGCGGTACGTCATGATAATTATAAAAATACATTATTTTAGTTAACGCAAGAATTAAGAAACTCATGTATGGGACTCACCATCTGTATTATTCCAATTGTTAGATTTATTATCATTTCGAAAACGATTGATTCTGTCATTGGCACTGTATCGATCCTTCTGTACTCTATCGTTTTGTTCTCTGTCTCCTCGGGATCGATCGGAATGTTCTCTATCTCTGGGTCCTCGATTTCGGTCCCCTCGGTCAGCACGATCTCCACGTTCACTTTTATCATTCCAGTCTTGGTCTCGTCGATCACCCCGTTCTCTGTATCCTTTATCGCCCCAATCACCATCTCCTCGATCGCGTAATTTTCGTCTATCATTTTGACTATACGAACACAACATTATGGATAATGGCATATTTAATGTTAACAAACTTACTCGAAATGTTTATTGTTTTGCCTCCACGATCCACTCTCCGGTGATCGGTCGTTCGAGCTCGTTTCGTTATCGCTGGAATATCGAAAATCAATTACTGTGTTATTTATTAATTAAAATTTGACCCCAATTTACAACACTCACAGAGTTTGATATTTTCTGATTCTCCATGCCACACTTAAGCTGCATGTAAAAGTAACACAACTTTCAATAATGATTACATTCTAAATTAATTGTACTTATAAATTGTCAAATACAAGTTTTGTGTTCATTTTTAGGAGCCACCTAGTAACATATTTAGAACATGATTTTGGTTATCGGTTATATTCAAATCTCCGAAGCAGGTATCATTTGATTTTATTTACATCTAAGAGTTAATTTATAATCCTGTCTAGAAAGACCAGGAAACATTTAATTTAGCGAGAAAAAGAACGTTTTGGAAACATTATTAAGCAAGCATCTGTAAAATAAGTTAAACATTTTGAACATACCGATACAAAGCTACACTGCAAATAGGGCTATTAATTAATGTCCCACTGACTTTGATCATTTAAATTAAAAAAAAAAACGATTATTCTTAAAAAATTATTAATTATTGTATAATTTAAATATTATGAACATTTTTCTGCAATTTACAACAATTTATTTAACCACATCTTACTTGAAAATATTTTAATGACAAAAATTAAAAGGAGACCTGATGAGGGAAAACGGAAAAACGAAACAATAAATACAGAAAAATATTGTCACTCTCTCCAAAAACGTGCTCAGGTATTTTTATTAAAATTCACACAGAGAGAAATGCAATCAATGCATCCAACAGAACACACAGTATCAAAAAAACTTAAAAAACAAAAAAAATTAAAATTAATTAATTAATTGTCACTTACTGTGTATCTTTGTTATTCGTTCGCCATGGTTTTTGAGATTTGTCGTTTCGAGGTTCTGTTGCATCGTTTCTATTCCATTCTCTAAAAAAATTAATTTATTATTATTATTTACATTTACATAAAATGTGGATGGCAGACAAGTTAAAAAGTAATATTTGCCACTGTTTTATGTGTATCCCGAATAATTACTGTTTAAAGTACAGAACAGTTAATATTTCACCATTCTTACCTAGCTGCCGGTTTCACCTGGTTTTTATAACTTTCGCTTGAATCGCTGGTTTTCCTATGTTGTATCGTATTGTCGGCGTGTACCAACATTGGGCTTACTTGACTCTTTGACGCTGCGATTTTATCCAGCAACAAGGACGCTACATTGTAGTTATTTTCGTCAATAAGCTCAACAAGTGCCTAAAAGAATTACGAAATACCTATGTTTAAATATATTTAGATTTGGTTTTTGGCAATGTTCTTCAGAGCGGTGAAGTTAATAAAACCCCAAAAAGATACCTTCTTATTAATGTGGAGGCTCTTTAAAAAGGAATTACACATTACTCACGTTTCAAGTTACAACTTTGTGCACAAATAATCAATTAAAGGTTAATATGATTTATACAGTTTTGCATAGTTTTATATACCTTCTTGCCATACATTTCAGTAGCCTTCATTGAGAATATTTTCTCCAATATCAGATGTTCAAAGAGGGCATCTCTTTCTTCTTCAACACCCATGTTTTGATAACCATTAAGACAACATTCAATGGCCTGAGGTCGCAAAACAGTTAACTAGAAAAGAACTGAATTACGGTACTTGCATAAAAATTTGTGTCAAGTAACACCATAAATTAAAAAAAAACAATAATTACCAGCTCCCCTTCAATCATTCGCAAATGGGTAATTGCTATGAATTCTTCATTTCCATAATCTATATATTTGACCTTAACATTTTCGCTATCCATTACATCGACTATTTCACTTCGATACCATAGCTGATCCGATTCAAATAAAGCACAACATGGTAGGCCTGAAATAGTATATTTGATATAAGAATCTTTCTTATGATATACAGATATGTGCAGAGGTTGGAAATTAGCAATTGTTTTCCATTCTTTATAAGTCTGCACACTATTTTTGCCGCTCCGCTCCCCTGATTAAAAAAGGAGTACTTATAATGCAACAAAAATTACCAATTCTTATATCGGAAATAATGTCACTAGATTGGCAGGCAGTTTGCAAGTCGTTCATTAACTTTGCCAATTCTGACTCTTTACTCAATAATTGAACAAAGAATCGGTTACAGCTAAATACATAACTGACTTTCACAGGCTGCGTGAATCCCCTGTTTAAGATAAGTGGCTCTGGGTAGGCATGTAGAGCAGCTCTAAAACATTCGTAAATTTGTATGAATTCGCTTTCATTCATTAAATTTCTTTTTGTACCTATTAATTACATCTAATGCACTGGTCTTCGTCTCGGGATCCCACAATTCACATTTGGGAATCACAGTTTTAGTTGAGGATGGAAGAACTTTCATATAAAGAAGCCGATTGTCGACAAATCGTTTGAACGCCAGTCGCATGTCGATGGTAACTGTGGATTTCTCAACACCATTTAGCGCCACTCTAATAGCCATTACTTTAGGTAGTACATATTTGAACGGTATTTGAAATAAACCTTCAAGGGGCAGTATCTCGTAGTTTCCAAAATCAACATAAAACACCTACAAGAACATGGTATATATATGGTTTCGTCAAATAGTTTTACAGAAATAGTAAAAATACCTTAAATTGGTTATCGACTTCATTGGTAACTACAGCTCTGCAGACATTATCATCTTCTTGGCATTTCGCTAAGCAGATAGTCCCTGGCAGAGGTACTTCTTCCATCAATCGTAAACCAATTTCGTTAATTTCTTTCATTAATTTAGCCAATACGGTTTCAGACTGTTGCAACTGAACTGAGAAGTGAGTTGGGCCCTCGTTAACAAATGAAACATATACAGCATACTGCTGCATAGGTTCTAAATAAAAATGAAATTTCTTTAAAAATGTACATGCAAAGCAGATTTTCAAATATTACCCAAAGTACACGCTTTGTAAGTGTTGATTTCCGTTGAAGATGCAATTGGAGCCACGGATGGCGGTGGGACTTTCTGTAGCAAACTCATACTGAGCAAAACAGCTTGTTGGGCATGAAGGGGAATAGGTTGCAACAAGCCCCTATTTATAAATAGTGAACTAAGATCAGTACTATCAATGTACAAGTTGACAAGATAGTGATTCGTGGCCTTAGTAAGTAAATTACATCGCACTTCTCTATAGTTCAGCTCTTTCGATATAACCTCGAATATTTGCTCTTTCCATTCTCCACCCCCTAAAAGTTACATTTAATTGCATTGCATTCCATAAAGTTTCTCACATATAACACGCTTTAGAAACAATTGTTATATCTCTATATAATTATACACTTACGTGTTAATTATACACTTACGAGTACGAGAATTTATTTTTTTTTGAAAATTTCTATAATATACTAACAGTTGAAATTCGAGTTTAAACGCTGTTATTACGTATTATTTTGAAAAGGTCCTATGCTTGAGAAGTAGCTTATTGAAATAACTAAGCATTTGGAAAGAAAAATTATCATATTTAAGTACTTCCTTCACTATTCAGTGAGTCACAACACTATGCGTACTTTATTTTGACTAGAGACGTACCAGATGAACCTCCTTAACGCTTGGTACGGAATGACGGGATCAAAAATGATTAGTACATTTATTTTTGAAGGCACCTTAAATTAAAGTCGGCCTCTTCAATTCCTCCGGAATCATCTGGATATTATGCTCAAACGACTTAGACTTGGAAACACGACGTAATGGGCAATAGTTTCAACATTGCCCATTACCGCATCTGCGCATAATTTTGCAAAGGTGCAGAATCATTTGGACGAACAATTTGCTGGCGCTCGGATTGGAAGAAACGGTTGTAATTTATGGCCACCTCGATCACCGGATCAGTCAGTTTTTTATGGGGAGCCGTAAAAACACAGTTTATAAAAATAAATATGGCAATTTAAATGAACTTTAAAAGCTGTTGGAACAATTGAAAATATTGTTAGTCGGTCAGTTAGAAAAGCAATTTATTCAATAATAAAGCTCTGAACTCTCACTATATAACACAATAAAACCCTCACTTTGAAAATATTTTGCAATAAAAATTATAGTTTTTAGAGTTCAATTTTAATTATCTGCAGTATGTTTTGTAATAAATACTTTACATGAGTTGCCCTCTTAATAAAAATAAAGTTATTACCAATTTTAAAGTAGTTCGACTAGCGAGTTATGATATAGCGAGTTAGCGATATAGCGAGTTCAACTACCGATGGTGGCGTTGCGAAACATCAAATTACCCGAGTGGCAGTTCAGACTTATTTATTTATTGGAATTAATGACATTTATAACATAAAACAAAACATATACACTTTTCGATATGTTTCTATTTCTTTAAAAGCTTGCAAAAGTTGATTAGAACGAAACAGATCACATTCAGATGTAAACACCAATGTCAACAAAACAAGTGTCTAATTACAACTTAAGTTGTGATTATAATTTTCGCGTCCGGACTTTTGAACTCTCGAATTGTTATTATTTGTTACTATTGAAACACTGCTGTGTGCCATATACTATTTTCCATGGGTAACTTCGATCAACTACATTAAAACAGTAAAAATAATTCACAATCACTTAATTTTCGAAAAAGCCTAACGATATGATATATCACTGAAATCGTAATAGAATGCTCTATTTAATAAAGGGATAATCTAAAATGATTTCTTGAATGAAAAATGTCTTATGTCATTTTATTTGGAATGCAATTTCCTAAAACTTTTTTACTTAATGTTTTCTTGTCAGATTAATACTGACTGAACTAGGAGTTATTTAAAAGGCGGTCATAAATTAGTTTTCTTCAAATATCTCGTGACATGTCATGACTGTCAAATTTTGAAAAAAGAAAATTAGTTTCGAGTAGAGCATTCAAAACTCACCCTGTATATTCAAGTAAATTTAAACAGCAGTCGCTAGATCGCCTTCCATTCGTGCGAACTGCGTGTGGTGGATAATTTTGAAAATTTCCCCTCGAAATGGGAATACTCTGTATATTGGACAGGTTGGTGGATGCGTGCACTATTTACGTACTCTTTTTAGAGTATCACTAAAATAGTGACCCCTAATAATTATAAAAAATGCACATGCCCGTGTCACCTTTTGAACCTTTCGACCTCGGCTTAATCTCGAGGCAACATAAGCTGATTACAAGCAAAATTTCAAAGAAAACCCGCGCGTTTCAAAATGGCAGCATTATCTTTACATTTAGGAATGTTTTCCGGGCTTTGAAGCCGGGGTCTATCGGAATTTCTTCCTGACGTTTCGTCCACAACTGCGGTGGACATTTTCAAAGGTGATGAGGCAGTGGGCGAAGTGATCTCCCGTGCTTTCCAACTAAGACTGATTCAACTGCTGGATTCCCCGTCATATTTATGCAGCCCAGCCGTGTGTGCTCATGCGTGGGGGTTCCAACGCTTCGGCGCACATGCTGTTTGGCGGAAAACGCGCTTCCAATCTGGATTGAGTGCCGTAATTTCTTCTTTTCTGTTAAAATTGTTTTGGTGTTTAAATATTTCGATGGCCTCTCTGGTGAGTCTCGGGTAGTATCTTTCAGATTGGTGCAGAATGTCAACTTCGTCGAAGCGTATTTGGTGGCCGTCTAGCAGTGCGTGCTCCGCTACTGCTGATTTTTCCGTTTGTCCTAATCTGCAACTTCGTTTGTGCTCCGTGATCCTAGTGTTTATGCTTCGTTTTGTGGTGCCGATGTATGCTCTTCCACAGCTGCACGGAACTCTGTAGACTCCTGGTGCTGATATTTGAAAATGTCCACCGCAGTTGTGGACGAAACGTCAGGAAGAAATTCCGATAGACCGGCATCAAAGCCCGGAAAACATTCCTAAATGTAATTTGACCGGCCGTGAAAGCCTTCATAGCATTATCTTTAACAAAAAACTATCAACAGATCCGCCAAGCGTCACGTTCTGAGAAATATAGACAATTGAAAAATAGACTTTTCAGAACATTTGCTCACCAAGACCTGGTAGAAATAAATCAATTGACCTTCAAGTTAAGAGATTTTTAATAAAAGCGTTTTTATGTGTTTTAGCATTTTAGGCTGACATGTGAAGTAATGCAAATTATTTAACAAATATATTTAAATAAATATTAAGTAGGAACGTGCCGTCATATTCTGTGTAATCGGTCTTGAGAAAGACAGGTTCACATTTGCTACTCTGTTTTAGTCAAGAAAATATTTTTTTGGCTGTAGGTTATGGCTGAATAACAGGCTCAGTTAAGAAAGAAAATTATTTTGCACTCACCCTTTTTATTGTTCTGTAAGCACTTGTTTATTTCTTTAATATCATTTACCCTGATGTTATGATTTTTTAGAAAACCAAAATTTGAAAAATCATTTTAAATGCTATAAAACATATCAAAATATTGATTAAAAATCTGATTTTTGAAAAATAAAAATAAATTTCCAAGGATTAAATTTTGAACCGCATGAGAGATCACAAATGCCAGATTGGAAAGGGGTTTTTAAGTGCTTTGGCACAAATTTCGACAAACGTGTTCACATATTCGATTGTCTGGATATGAAAGTTCGGTACTACCTTGATACATATTACTTTCTAGGTATTGTCCATATTACCAGTTTTACTATAATGTTATTGTATTTTTTACACACCTGGACAATGAGCTTCTGCAATAATAAAACCTGTTGAAAGAGGTGGAATGGAAATGAATGATGTCGGAAAAGTTTGTAAACTTCGTATGTTGTCACTTGGTACTATATCCTTATTTCCATAATCTATGAAATACACCTCAACGAAGAATGGATGTAGAATGTTCAATATCCTCGACCTTAAATATAACAAAAAAACAGTTACTAACAATACCACAAACATTTGCGTAAATGCATCATGTTCAGACAAGATAATAAAAATCCTGCTGTTGTTTATACGTCTAATATCGTCCTCTTCAGATTTGGATAAGTGCACATTTTTTTCAAAGTGTATAGAGATCAATTACTCTCGTGTTCAAAAAGTAATATTCAATACGTATATTCCGCATGATCTAAACCAGGCTAAATATAATGAAAGTTGGTCAATCATGCTTTGGAATAGCTGCAAACAGAAACGTTGGCAATCAGTGAATCACAACTTAAAACGATATTTATGAAAAACTTTCGTATCTGATGTGACTTTCAATCAGCCTGTATAGCAAGCAAGAATATCTGGAAAATAAAATAGTGCCGACATTCAAAAGCAGATAAATCAACTACTTATAACTACCTACATCAACTTTCACGGTGAACCCGAAGGGCCACCAGTGATTTTATTTCAGCTGTGATTTTTCATCGAAAAATATATCAATTTGTCGCGATCTGTGAAGCGGAATAAACGTTTAGATTTTGAAAGTATCGTGACTGAACGTGACCTAGAAGATAGAAAATGCTTGGGTGATTTTTMTTTAAATAAGTATAAACTTGACTGAAAATATTRARTTTGATTGACTTCGCTAATTYATTAATGTATTTTKCACTACATCATGAACATTAATTGGACTATATTTTGAATATTGTTAARGTGAAAATATTCTGATAACGTTYACTGTGATATTTTACTCAATTTAAAGTTTTTCCTTTCAAAATGAGAAAATCGGATTTTATTCAAAATTACTGTCAATAAAATTTATAATTATAGTCCGGCGAGAGTTTTCTTATGAAGAAAGCGCTAAGCTTAGGCAACTGTAATACTTCTAAGGTTTTTCAAGTAACGAAGTTTTGACTAATAAAAATCACATACTTCAAATACTTAGGAGGATTATGTTCCAATATTATGTTCCTATGAATAAAAAAAGCTTTGAGTTTATGGTAAACTTATTTAATGACTGTGCACGTACAATTTGCTTTCTCTATAAACATTTACTTGAAGTACTTAAATAGAAAATTTTATGTTTAATATAAAAACGTTTTGAKTATTACCACGATTTTTACTSWATTTTATGAATGAGTCCAGTGCCATCATGTAACAGAAATTTGGAAATATCATTTTTGCGRTAAAGTAATAGAAATGCACRTGCAAGTATGATACACATAGTGGAGTTTGAAATTTCGTACGTWGAAATAATGCCTATTTATTTTCTATGTTAGCTTTATARTATTTTTTATAAACCATTCATGAATAGAAAATKGTAAGGCTTAGGGATATAACATGTTTAAGAACACTTCTACAGCATTTATTGAATATTTCATAAATAAAATGAAATTAAGGTTGTTCCATAAAAATACGTAGCGACTACGTATAGGGAACTTTTATTTGAAACTTGTTTTGATAACATTTTCCACAATTAAACTACAAGAACTGCACAGGTACACAGCTGACTCACCCTGTATTAACAAGAATAAGTTGTTTTACACAGTTGCCTGTAAACACTTTATCAAAAGAATACTGCGAGATTGTTTGTTTCACAAGAAGACGATTGAGAATCTGGCCTAACTTTTAATCAGAAAAATTTTCTGGCCACTCTGCTATTGATGGTCAAAGTTCTTCAAAAAATATATATCTTTTTAAATATCGGGAGAATGGTATGATGTATTTTAATGAAACTTGCTGTGAATTTGTTCTTATGTAGAATTGATATTTTGCTGAAACGATCGAGTGCGGGAGAACTACATATCCAGATACATATTCAAAAAAAAAATTGGAAGAACTTTGACCATCAAATCAGGGTTGCTAGACACTTTTTGTTAATAAAACTTGACTAAAAGTCAGATTGTTGTCTTTTAAGCCAAAGAATGTCGCTGTGCCCTTTTGATCACGTGCTTACGGGACACCCTGTATAATAAATTAGGTTTTAATTCCCATTCGAATCAGTGCATTCTTAATCCGTTAAAATTAAAGCTAATTGCGTTTACTTATGAATATGCATCAGTATACAGGGTGGTCCAATTTCAACCTGCGAGGCTTTAAAGGCAAGTTATATACCCTATAGTCCAAAAGTCTCGCTTAACGGCGGTAGGCGGCTCTTAAATTTGCACTCCCTCAACGAGTAGTAATTTTGCAATTTGCTAATCACAAAGTATCACAAGCTTATTAAACGAGGCAATTACTCAAACTTTGTTGTCCTTAGGTTAATTGAGCATATGAGACCTAACATGTATACCAAGTTTTATCTGTTGTTAACAATTTAAATAATAAATTATTGTTTATGAAACGTCCTTTTAAGAGCCGCTACCTCCGATAGACGACACTTATGTGGGTAGGGTAGGTATATGATATTTTCGCTCCCGAATGTTTTTCGCTGTAGAATATGTAGGTATATACGTTCAGTTTGTAATAATACTGAATTGTAATGATCTTAATGTCGATGGCGCTATTTCTGTTCCAAAAAAGAAAAGTAGTTATTTAAACGCTAACCAGATGCATGACAAAATAACAGTTAATGGGCGGCATATCTTTGACCCTGACCAAAGTAATTTAGTGAATTATATCTTCTTTGCAGAAATGTATTGGACATATGGATAATTTGATGCAGGGCTCACAAGGTACTAATACTAAGCTACTTGGTCTTATATACGATCAGTTGATCCTCAAATTGTATATACAGGGTATTCTTATGGTGCAAACATTTAATTTCGCGTTAAGACCCGTCGAAAGCAAAGCATTTAAGTAGGGTTTAATGAATAATTTAGAAATTAGATTGATTAAAATAGACGCATTATACTTTCGAGGTTACAAAAACACTAAAACTTTACGAGAATTGGTTGTTCACCAGAGAAAACAGTAAAATTTGCCCCTTTTTAAGAACGATAAACATTACCTGTAATACTTGTTGTCTTTATATTTGGCGCATACCAGAGTGTTGACTTGTAAAGCTTCGAATGGCAGAACGCCGATGCCCTGGTCGAATTGTTGGGAGGCACTCAGCAGAAATTGTTCCACATAAATTGAATTGTTTTTTTCGGTTTGCCCCCACACTTTTAGAAAGGGACCTTCTTTGTCCACGTGAGTAATGAACAGAGATAAGCTTTGCGGTAAAGCATCCATCTTCCTAGCTTACTTAACTTATGCTAAATATCATATATTTCTACAGCTTTTCTTTGTGTAACGAAACCGGCAAGAAACGTTTTCTTATCAGAATTTTTCTCTAAGCGTTAAAGCGTTGTGCTGTTATGCACAAACACGGACAGTGGCATTTGGAATTTTAACGACTCCCTGTCAATGTCTATTCGTTTTACTACAAACGCGTTCCGATCAGCCGATTGGTTCTTTTGATTGGCGAATATCGCATGATCTAGATTGTTGGTCTGTGCACGTGACCAATACAGCGTGCCAAAATAGAAATCTGGAATCTTTCTAGAAATTATATGCAATTTACGTTATCAAGCAGATTAAATTATCATTAGTACTTCTAACGGTATAATTATCACTATATTATCTATCTATCTCTTGTCTGTGCACTATGTTAAGAATGGCGAGAAAAAGAAGAACTATGGTCTAGGACCAACCAGTTAAGTAAGGATGTACGAAACGGTACCAATCACTCCAATATCGAGATTGAAATTTTTACTTTATGTGATTGATTGATGGAGTTACAATGTATTTGAAATTATCGAAACACACGAACCATACACATATTCAGGTGAGCAAGATTTGAAGGCAGATTAAAAAAAACTGTGCGTTTACGCTCGTTCGGAATTTCGATTCACATACAATAACTGTATTTACCAGAATCCAATTTTTGATGTACTAACTTTGTCAGATATTGTTTCAAAATGATCAGAAGCCACATAATAGCTCAGTGTTACTATGAAATTATTTTATTTCGGGCGTAAAAGTCTGTAAATCTATAGTTTAAGTTGTCAACAGGTGTGCTGTGTTGCTGCTCACCGTATGCGTGTGCAGATCCGTTCTCAGTTTTGGAATATAATCTAAAATAAAGCCACACGCTTGAGTTCGTCTGTGTATATTATTTCATTGTGCTAACATTTTTCGTACCAAATATAATTAACAACCAGATTAATCTCATACAGTAAAAATCAGATAAAGCGACGAAACTTTGCTGCTTAGGTATAAAATATACAAAGTGTGCAAACAAAGTGGTTTTTACGGATATTTCGAAAACCGCAGCAATCATGCAGAAACCGTTATAGAGTACAATACGATTACAAACTCATAAAAAAACTTAGAGCAGGGCTATTTAATAGTGTTAAAATATACATCGCGGTCCATGAAAAACCCAAAATTATATTTTTTAATTTATGTAAAAAAAATATTTCTGTACAATTGACTATCTATAAATTTTTTAAAATATTTTCAGTAATAAAAGAGCTAAAAAAGTTGATAACGCCATATTTTCACCTTTACCTTGTATCTCAATGAAAAGTAACAAGGGATTATTTTGCTCCAAAAATTAAGCTGAACCAACCATATGATTTCCGAAATAATCCGTAAAAATGATAAATTTTGCCTACTCTGTACAAGGTGTTGAAAACGAATTGAGTAATTTGTAAAAACTGTTTGGGTTTTAGAGAGTTTCAATACGTTTTATACATATAATTATTGATCCACCTGGTTATAATGAACACAGTCGCAAAAAATAACAAAAATAAGCATTTTCCTCCCCTACTACCTCAAGATCCGAAAAAAATCAATTTGTTTTGTTCCTCTGGGCAATTCTGGTCTATTTTTGCTAAAGCTTTTCTCAGAGAATTTGAGTCGAAAGTTACCTAACTTTAAAACCATTTTTTTGTGTTGTGGATATTCATACGTTGAAACATTACGACCTTACATACCAGTGAGTGATGCCAGATCGGTAAAATTCCAATCCCTAGATGGTCACTAAAAAATTCCTAGTTTTCCGTACATTTTGAAAAAAAAATAACTAGAATGTTTAATAAAAAATGATAATAAGTGAAACAAACAAGGAAACCGTATATTACACTGTAAATGTTTATACAAGTTTAAAGAATGTAACAAAATAAAACTCATAATTTTGCATCAATTACCATTCTTCTTATTTATTCTTTTAAGTTCAAGCTTTAATTTAAATAGGTATTGGACAAAGTTTATATGTAGATGGGGAAGTTGAAAATCACACTCACTGAAGGTATATTAATTTTTGCATCCCAGTACAGATTTTTTCCGGGAAATTAAAAATACCTTAAAAAAGATTCAAAGAATTCGTTAGAAATCGAATCGCGATATTGCATTAACAAATTCTGGCTTCTTTCCACTTGTTAGCATTATGTTACATTTTTAAATTTTTGTACATTAAATGACAAAAAGGTTCATAGTGTGCGCTAATAAAACACACGCGAAAATAAAAAAATATATTTTTTTTATAGAATTTAGATAATAATTTAATATAGGGGTTCCTTTTCAAAAACATAACTTTCATTGTAACTTTTGTGGAACATTTTGTATAATTTCAACCAATTTGTGAAGCCATTTAAAATAAACGAGAAATTTGAGACAAAAAAAATTACTCTAAAATATTACTTTTTTAATGGTACACTGATACATTGCGCCTTTCTCCTAGCGCTGTAACGCTTCTGACGCACAAAATTGAATAATAAATTAGTTTAGTAATTGTTAATTCGCTGTTCATATAGATATTCTACCGTATTTATTACCTCCATATTGAGTCCATATTATTGCTGGTTTGTTCGCGCGATTTCCACAGCTTTTGAAGCGACTCACAGGGCCATATGCCTTCCGTAGGTCTACGAAAAGCAAGTGAAGATCCTGGTTCTATGCGTTTTTTTTCAAATGATTTTGCTAGCTGATTGTGCCTGTTACTTCTATTCCTCGATAATTTTCCCAGCTGCTTCTGTCTCCTCTTTTAAACAAGGTGGTTAGATAAGGAATTTTTCACTCTGCTGATATAGTTTAATTGTTGAGACACTTTTGAAAGAGTTTTTGGATCATGTTTCCATTTTTGCCCAAATCTTGTTTCATTAACTATACTGCCAGGGCTGGGCACTTTTCCATTGTTTAGGCAGTTGAGTTGTTTTTTTATTGCCTCTATTGTTACCCTGATGGAGCTTCCTACAAACCTAAAATTTCTTGGTGTTTCATCAAGTTAGACTGCCATTAGAAGCTGTCTGTAAAATAGCCTTCCTATTTCTTAAGAATTTTTGGGGATATTATTTATCTTCTTGTTCCTGTTCTCATATTTTCAAATATTCTCCAGCTTTCCGTGCTTTGTGTTCCTCCTAGTTGTGAGTTAATTCTTGAACAGTCTTTTCCATGCTTCGTTCTTCTTTGGACCAATCTTTCTACGAACTTCTGCTTGCAATTTCTTATCAGTATCCTGTATTGCATGCTCTGGCTTCTCAAACAGGTTTGATATTTGTTCTCCTTTCCTCTATTTTATGCTCTAAACATCCTATAGATTTGAAAAAAATTAGCGCGCCAACTTATCATACAAACAACTGTATGAAAAGTTGCCCTCTACCAACTAAAATTCGACCATAAGATCTATTAATATAAAACGTTTCACTCATTAGTTTAATTGAATTTATTAATAGTGATTCATTAATCGATTTCAAGATGCATGTAACATTGCTTCGAATCAATGGCAAAACGTATAAAATGTTTCAATTTTTGTACGGACTCGGGAAAATATTTTTAGTATAAAGCGACGCTCGTATTGATCGCAGAATTACGCGCATACTCTTTCGAAAATAATGTTAATTATTCTCTGCCTGTATGAGAAGCGAAAAACAAAAATAAGGGCCGAATAAAACAGAAAATGTGTACCTAAATTAGTAGCACGGATGTAAAACATATATATCCAAATAGCGAATATAAAGCAAAGTCCGGAACGGTGATAGTGTTTTGTCCAAACAGTGTATTTAGTGCAACGAAATCATGAATTCTCCAGTACTTAGGACCGTATCTGTCCTTTTGGGTACCTTTTTTATTTTCGTAGGAGTATTTAAAATCTCCAGTGTGGTGTCCAAAGAATTGCATAAAGATTTGGTAAGTTATCACTCAATTGATAACATTAGCGTTTTCAAAAAAAATTAAAGAGCCAAAATTATCAAAAGCAATGATAATCAGATAATTAAAAAACTCTTCCTAAACAGTTAAAAAGTTCCCAACACAAATATTTAAAAAGTTCAGAAAACAAAGAAAACTAAACCTCGGTTTCCTATTGATCGGCTTTTGTCCTAAGCTCGTCCTTATTTCAAAGGGACGGTAAGAATTTTGCCTGATTTCGGTATTGACGCATTTTTTCTTTTTGCCACTGTTATACAATAGAAGTATATGATGGGCTCATATTTGTTGGCTACTTGCCTGCCCAGGTTGCTTGAAATATTTTGGCGTCGGTTTTTTCGTCATAATTAAGCAATGCACAATGGTCTGATGATCATTATTTACATGCAATATTGACTCAAGAAAACACCCATATCAACTAGAGATTTATGTAACCGATAAAAAAAGGAAGAACAATTCTTATTTATCATCAAAACGAAAATAATAACAAATATATTTAAAGCTACAAGTGAAAAACATAATGAATTCTGTTAATGATGTTTTATATACCATTGTTCTCTTTGTCAAACACAACCGATAAACTAAATGTAATAAACGTTTAATTGATGATCAAGATAAATCAGTAGATTTTTGAAGTGATAACTTTTTATGGGAGGGTGAACAGATTTTTATCGGTCACGGCGAGCCNGGCTGCCACTCCGGCCTCTTCGCGCCTGATGCTTGGGACAAACATATGCACTTTTACTATTCGACATTTTTCTCTTAGTGCGGGTGCATCTGTAGATCTGATAAACTTTTCAAATTTACATTGCGTTATTAAACTGACGGTGATTTTGATCTATAAATTATTGTGTTCGGTGCCGTTTATTTCATAACGCTGATATCAATGTATCAACAAATTAACAAGGGAGAAGCTGCAGATACTGCAAATACTAGGTAAGGGTGCTCATGTACTATATGCCTGTTCGAGTTTCGCGTTCTTTTAAATTTCCAATTAAAGTACACACACAATTATACACACTCAAGCAGAAGTGCAAAAAATGCGGATCGTCCATAAATTTGCAGAAAAATATATTACAAACTTTTGAAAATCATGTTCAAACGACCGGGTATTTATCATTGCAAATGAGATTGCCCATTTCCGTGTACCGATGATTCGACACGCAAAATTGTATCTAAGATCCACTACAATAAAGTTTTTGAAAAACTGTTGGAGCTGTTTTAAATCGCCTGATTGATTGCGGACGCCAATTCGTATCAAGATAAGATTAAATTAAATTAAATCGTACCGATAGAATCCCGGCACCGATTCCCTATGTCTGAGGTCCAGATGCTGCCCAGATGATGTCCATTTGCATTGTATTGCACGACTCAAAGTTCCGATCTCGTAAAATATTACTACCTACTTTCTTTCTACTAGTGATTTTCATCGGAGACAATTGTTAAACCAGATGTTGAGCGGATATTCTCTAAAGAAGGCAGGGTCAATTTATGAAGAACTCCCAAGATTAAGTGCAAATAAAGTGTCACATCTATTATTAATAACTTTTAATGCAATAATATGTTCTATTTTTTGTTATTTTATTTTGTAACAAAAAATAATAGATATTTAGATATCTATTTTGTAAGCAATTATATTTAACATAAAATGATAAAAATCACAACTGTTTTGTAATAATAAATAATAAATACGTTTTGAATTTAATTGAAAAAATATTTGAGTTTACCTCGATTATTTCAGAAAACATGGGTACCGTCTTCTTATTTTCTATCACGTAAACTCAACAAGAAGAGTTTACACAAACCCAAGAAGAGAAATATGTACAAGATTTAGCTTTAGAAATATGTACAAGCGTTGAAGAATGTTAAATGTTGCAAATACAAATATATTTTACATTCAAAAGAAAATTAAATTACATTTTACCTATTCCTGATCCATTTATAAATTATTACACTAACAAGAATATTAAACTTATAAAATAAAATTATTTTTGCCATCATGAATTAATCAAGTTCAATATTTTATGGTTTCTATAAATATATGTTATCACTTCTGTCGAGGGTCCCATGACGCACACTATTTTGTCTTCCTATTTTTATGAATAACCAACCAATAGCCCAAGCTCAATTAATTAATTGGCCCATTACTTGGCAACCTACACTAAAAGTATTATTAGTTAATTTTTTTACATAAAAGCCACAATATTTACTATGTCATAACAAAGTTCCGGGTGATAAAAGAAAATCTGACCCCAAAAAAAATGTCACCCTGTACATTCTGAGAACCGTTTGATACATTGGCCAATAGTACATAATCCAAATTTGAATTAAATATCTGGAAAACTGTAAAAGCTCTAAAGGAAAGATAGAATAAAATTTCTAATTTCAACAATTTTTATATAAAAACTCTGCCTCTTTTGGCAAAATGCTTATGAAGCAAAATGTATAACTCTGAGAAACTTCAGGTTTAATTTTTGTCAAAAGTCCAGTAAAAGCACAATTATTAATTGCTTTATAACTGCTAGAATATAAAGAATTTTTTTGCGCAATGTCGCCGTATTAATTGTTTTTCCATTTTTTTCCAAATGTCCCGAGAAAATGAGCAAAGAACATATTTTCTAAATATTCCACAATTTCAATTTGATGAGATGCAGATAATGGCTTTTAAATCAGTTTAACGAAACCCAATCTAACCCAATGCGTTCCAGAAGTTTAACTTAATCAACGGAACTTTTAAACGTAAATAACATGGTTTATTTAAGTAGAGCCTCAGACTGTGATTTATGGACAACTCAGTTGTAAAATTGTTACTCTGTAAACTCTGTATCTATAAATGTAACTATGCAGGATGATTACATTTTAGAACTGGAAAATAAACGAAATGATAATATCATAAAATTAAGTAGACAGTTTCTTATGGTGTTTAAATGAAGTCTATACAGGGTGTCCCACCGGGAACCGCCGCGATCGATATCTGCCATACTGTAATTAGCAGAAATTTGAAAATTGGGCAGCGTGCCGAGGTCATTGGGGGACACACTTCCGGTTATACCGGAAGTGCGTATCAACTTGCTTATTTTAAATGGAGCACCCTATATATTATTACATTTTTGAATTCTAATCCAATATATGAATGTAGTTCATGTTTAATATCGTATACCTAAGTCTAACCGTTTTTGACATATTTGAAATTTTATGTAAAAATTGACATTTGCAGCCATTCGAATAATTATTCATTTGATGGGAAATAAGTGAATTTGTCATACTTAATTTGAGTCGCATTTATTGTTGAAAATGACTTACTTTAATGGAATTTCGAAAACATTTTGAAAACTATTAATACAAAGTGTTAAAAAAATAAGTTTCAAAATACAATTGAGAAAACCGCCTAAAACCTATGATTTTTTCAAATAAAAACTCCTATTTTTGATAATTTTGTCAAATTCGGTATTAAAAATAAGTGTAAATTTATGTAACGATCCAAAAGTGTTTAGTTTTAAGAACCATTTATGTATCAATAATTAATATTATATCAATCACTGACATTAAGACGTATTCAAAATTCTTGAAATTTTCTATAATTTGTTTAACAGCACAGCATGAAGGCTTCTGTTTTTGTGGATATCGAATGACAAATGT